TAAGCCTACCCCTAAAGAAGGCTTCTGACATTTTAGAACAATAGTCTTAGCTGCCTGCAGCAGCTGTGCTACATTGCTCTACATAATCAGGGCAACTGACAGAATATACATCCAGCATAACCTCAGGCACTATACAAGCTAGTGATACCCAGGATTATAAACACCAAGCAGACAAGTTGCAATGAAACATTGCAGTAGTCCTGCAGGCATTTAATACAAACACTCAGAAGCAAAAATTGTGCAGCTTGGGATGACTGTTCACGAAGGCACTTGCGTATGATGACACTCAACAGCTGGCTCCAGGACAAAGTTTGAGGAGATAAGTCAGGACTGACTGCTCTGGGAGACTTGCACCAACACAGCTGGCAGCAGGCAGGTGCATGTTTCCAAAATATCCTGCCCTTCTCTTCTGCCTCCAGCACCCCATGCCATGATGTCGTAGAAGTGGCCAGAGGGAGAGGGGAAGTTGGCAGAAACAAAAACAGGTATAAAGACATTCCTCTGGAAGCAAGGAGTCACCAGGCCTGTCCCCTTGTCCCCAGAAGTGCCCCATGCATTCTTCTGTGTATGTATATTGAATAGTGACCCTCACTGCTGGGACAGGTGAACCCCTGCCCACCACTCCTCCACTTCCCCAGCACTGCTAGCCACAGAAAGGTGACCCTCCTGCCCGAGCTCTCATGACCCTCTCTGCTGATCCCCAGCCACCTCAGATTTTATACCTCCTCCTGACAAAACATCTCTCTCCCACAGGAGGAAAAGGGAGCACTGAAGTTGTTAGTGCACCATAGCCTGGCAGGGGCAACCAAACCCATTCTGTTTTTCTCTGAAGCCTTCTAGCCCGAGAGGAGCTTCACTCCTCAGAAATCATTTGGGTCTCCCCTTCTGGCCATATTTTTGGAACCAGTGACCATATTTCCCTCCTGAATTAACACTCGCCAGGGTTTACTGAATGTGCTCTTCATATTGTCAAGTCCTTGAGAACATTCAGGGACAAGGGTGTTAGATGGCCTCAGGGAATAGGTGTCTCAGCATCAGAGACATGGCAGTCCTAGACATGAACTGCTGCAGAAGGCAGCTGCCCATCCCTGCCTTACTTCATTAGTAAAAGCACACCCAAGTGAAATGCTACCAGTGATTCAGACTCAGTCATATGACTTCTCTTCAATCATATGCCAAAAGCCCAGGTCATTCTTCTTATCTGCTCTTGGTTTATGTACCCTGTACCTCTCCATCTCAGTAAATCACATCTTTCAATGAAAAAATAATAGAAAAATTGGTCAGATTAGTTGGAAGCAATTATATTCCTTTTGCTTTTGGCCTCTAACTGCATGTGTCAGAATGTACTACCAAATATAATGTAAAAAACAGAAGAGGTGATGCAAGGAAGGCATGAGGACAATACAGCAGAGCTGTGTCTGCCTGGCCACATACAGGACCACTCTTTATACTGGGCTTACCCAGGGACAGGCACCTTTTGACCTCCCACCAGTGCACCCCCAGTTGCCACCATACTCTCAGCTCAAGCAGCACTAGTGGAATCAGCACTGCCCTTGTGGAAAAATTTATGCATGCTTTTATCACTGTTTTGGCATGCCTTTCCCTATTAGCTCCATAGAGCCTGCTCTCAGCTCTGTCCCAGCACCCATTTCACCAAGACTAAAAGCAGAAAAGGGAGATTGGTTGGGAGCTTGGAGAGAATGCTAAGCCCACTGCTGAGCAGTGGTGGCCAGGAGAACTCCTCCAGTCCACCAGTGTTTACATGGCAGCCAGTCCACTTGTGTGGAAGGTGACTCAGCCCAGGGCTCAAGTGCAGCTGAAGATCTCACTCTGCTGCATGCAGCACAAGGAGCAGCACTGCAGCAGCATGGACAAGGTAGCGAAACATGAAACAGGCATTTCCATGGCACTGTCAACTCTCAACCAAGCAGTACTAATGTTAGGAAACAGACTTTCTCCAAAGGAAATGGCAGCCTGGAGAGTGTCAGAAATGAGAACTCCTGCAGAGATCCATCAAAAGAAGTTTCTCCTGTAACCGTCTCATGGGAGCAGTCTTTTATCCTGACCTGGAAACATCTTAATCTACTGCCTGGCCTTCCACTCTGCTCTCATTGTAACCTGAAAATTAATCTCTTGAGAAGAATGCAGAACAGCACAAATGCCCAGGTGAGCTATAATCATTATTTTCATTATAAATGATTTAAATAAGGAACACTAAACTTCCAGTGTCACATCTGGAGGCACCTTATAGTGGCACATTAAAACCAGTGGGAGCTGCAAGAGAGCAGCTCCCGCTTTATGCACTGAGGCACGTGACCATGACAGAAGCTGGCTCAGGGCTGGCTTTGCTACGTCAAATGCCTCTGTTAGAGCCGTCCTTCCAAATCTCCTTGTATGTATTTAACCACAGATATGTCAGAGATAAAAACAATTTTTCACTCTGTCAGCCCTGACAGACTGCAGAATCACCACCACCAGCACAACATGAGCTGCTTCTGCCACACTTGCATGTGCTCACAGGCATGGAGGTCTCAAGCCTAGAACAACCACGATGCACATATGAAGAAACATTTACTGTGAGGGTGACTAAGCATTGACACAGGTTGCCTAGAGGGGTTGAGCAGTCTCCATCCTTGGACTTATTCAAAACTCAGTGGGAAACAGCTTTAAGCAGCCTGTTGTTGCTGTCCCTGCACTGAGCAAGGGGCTGGAATTAGATGATCTCCAAGGTGCCCACTAGCCTCACCAATTCTGTGATGAATGCCACAGTACAATTAAGAAGACTGTGGCTGCACAACTGCCATAAAAAAATAAAATAAAATAAAATAAAATAAAATAAAATAAAATAATAATAAAATAAACCTAGCCAATAAAAGCTACTTTGGGGAAGAAAGGAACCAGCATAATTCTTTTTACCTGCAGAAAAGTGGTTGCTCCATTCAGCCTATTGCAAAGAGTATTGCTACAATCTTCCCTACCACACGATCTTCTGCTAATACAACCAGTCTTTAAATGTAAACAGTGGGAACACGGTCATCTGAGGACAATGTGAGCACTGGGTCAGCTCTGCCAGCTCTCCAAAAGCAGAAGAAGTGCTGCCCAGGTGTAGAGTGCTTCACATCACCCTGCCACAATCATGCACAGGCACCAGCCCAGCTCAAGGATCTCCAAAGAGCAGTCTCTGGATTGCCATCCACACGTGGTATGGTGCAGGCTAACAGCCATTTCCATCACCTTTTGTGTGGTTCCTAGTGACAGGCAACAGTGTGGAGCTGAGGACAATGCCAGCAGAACTGAATTGATTGAAAGGCCACCCATGTACAGCTAAAAGTTTATCCAAGGCAATAAAACTGCAAAGGAGATCAACTTCCACTGCATACTTGTGTTTTCTAGTGGCACTGATGAGTAACTGTCAGTTTAACACACAAAGAACAGTTAATTATGAGAATAGCTTCATAATATAATTAACAGCTTCAGGGTAAATTTTAAGAAATCTTGATTTTAATGGAATCATTTATCCAGCACATGCTGGACACTTCCAGAACAGAGCCTCTTCACAGTTACTACGGAAGACCTCAAACTGTACAACTGATACTAAAGTTTGTATCTTCTTTTAATAAACACTGCATGCCAAAATAGTTTTCATCTTTGACAGTCATGGTTTACCCAATGACTTGACTTTCCAGCACAAGGTGGGAATGTATCTTACAGATAGGTATTTTTATCTCTAGATATACCAAATTCAGAACTCAAATGTGTATCATTTACTTTAAAGTATCCTAATTAATTAAAATTGATTATAACCTTAAGGGAATACAGTTTAATCAGCTTGATGCCACGTGATGGGTGAATTGCCTGAGAGGATTCACCACTGAGTGATTTATTGCAATCACAAAATCACAATAAGCCTGATATTATCAACCTAGGAGCAACAGACAAGACATCAGAAGTTCAGTGCATTGCTTACTTCAGTTGACTCAATACATACATACCATCCCACTGGTCACACAGAGCTATCAAAATTCATTACAGGACTTAATTTCATCTGAAATTGCAGAAAAGCTTAAAATAACCCTTTCCCATACCTCCACTGTTGATTGAAATGTTAATACAAGATCTTACATTTATAGCAGGAAGCATGACAAAAAACCATGTGTATACAGCTACTGACAAGTTTTCTGCACACCTGAATTTCACTAATACAGTATCAACCTAACCAAATTCAAAGAAACAAGAGGACACAAAAAAGATAAGCAATTTCAAATTACTTTGTCAACTCAGACGTACAGAAGGAACAGCCCAAATACTTCAGGAGCGCCAGGAAGGAGAGTCCTTTAGACTTAAGGACAGCTAATAGCTATTATCACAGTGATAAAATTAGCTCCCTTAGAAAAACTTTCAGACTACTTGCATGCTTTCGATTTTACAAGTCTATGCCACAATCTAGTCCCACCCGGAAAGATGCCAAAATTCAACGTTAGGATCCTTCCCAGTCCCCAGCCGACTGCCCATCGCGGGGGTCAAAGGCAGCGTGCACAGCACTTTGAATACAAGCAGCCAGCTCTAAACTATCATTAATATAAATATTGTTTCTTTTCTACTTTTTAAATTATTATTTTTTACCGTGTAAACGCAACTCTCTAGTTTTCAGTCCCGGGTGGGTGCTTGCTTTCCATTCCCTCCCCAGTCAGCGGCGCTCCGTGCCGGGCCGTGGGAGAGCGCTGCGGGGCCCGTCCCCGCCGGACCCCCGCTGCCATCGCCGCGCGGTGCCGCCCGTCCCGCTCCGCTCCGCTCCCGCCGAGGGCCGGCGAGCAGGCACAGCCCCGCGGAACGGCGGGGCAGACGGGCATCCGCGCCAAGCCCACCTGGCTGCCCCAGCGCCCCGAGAGCGGAGGCCCCGCGCCGCCCCACGCCGCCTCCCCGTCCCGTGTCTCCCCGTGAGAGGGTCCCGCGTGTGCGCCCGATCGCGCAGCCCCAAGAAGCCGCCCCCGCGTACTCACCGCGGCGGACACGGCGCTGAGCTCGGCGCTCAGCAGCAGCCCGAAGCCCAGCCAGAGCCGCATGCTGCCGCGCACCGCACCGCGCCGTCGGTCCCTGGGCGGCGGAGCGCCGGCGACTCAGAGTGGGGCTCCGCGGGGCCGGCCCCACATGCGCGTCCCTTCCCTCCGTCGCGGCCGCGGCGCCTGCAATGCCTCGGCGGCGAAGGACTCGACTCGCCGTACACGATGGGCGGTGGCAGCCCCCCCCTCTCCTCCCCTCCGGGCGGGGACCCTGGGAGGACGCAACCTCGCCCGCTCCCGTTCGCCGCTGGCCGCAGTTCTTCCGCCTCCTCGTCCCCGCCGCGGGTGTGTGGTGGGCCGCGGGGGGCGCGGGCGGAGGGGGGCGGCGCGCCGCTTCCTCGGCGCACTCCGCCGCGGCCGCCCGGGAGGGCACGGTACGGCACGGGCACGGTACGGGCACGGTAGGGCAGCGCAGAGCGGAGCGGGAGGCGGGAGGGGCCGGGCAAGGGCCGGGGGCGCTGGCTCTGCACGGCCCGTCGGGGTCCGCGCCCGGCAGGCACCGCTCTGTGCGCGGCGCCACAGCCCTCTCTCCCCCCGGATCGGAGCCCGGCCCCGCCGCTCCCTGCTCCGGCAGCGGCGTCGCGGAGCCCGGAGACCTCCGGCGGGGGGAGCGGCGTTTCGAGCGGGCTCTTCTCTGCCTTACAGGGGTGGCCGTCCGGCGGGAGGGAGCCCTGAGCCGAGCCCCCGGCCAGGGAACGAGCGAAAATGGACATCTCTCAGCTTCCCAGTGCACGTATTTTCCTTTGTCAGTAAGTAATTCCGCTCGGTAGACTTCTGGAAATAACTTTTTTAAAGTCGTATTGTCACCTTTAACTGCGGAGCGTTATCACGTGCTTGTTTTGCACTAGCTTAAAACAATATCGTCCTTATTCACCTCTCCCTGCAGGGAAACGGGGCTTTTGCTGATCCTGATGGAAGTTGTGCTGTCGGCCGTCAAAGTGCATGCTGTAAGTAATACGTTTTCTTCTACTGAGAGAGAAGAGGAGGAAAAAGCAGTTTCCTTGTACCAATAAGTGAAGAACTGCGTTTTCCTTGCCAAATGGCTTATCTGTCTTTCTATTAAAAGAAACAACTAACAAATAATCTCTGCTAGCCTTATGGATTGCTGCCTTCAACAAACTGACATTCAGCAGAGAAGCATAATACTTCAAGTGTCAGGTTGTTTGAAGTATTCTGCTGTTAATTTTGCTCAAAATGAATAATTTGTTAAACTGATAGTGAAACAAACCAAACAATTTCTTTATTTTTGTAAGAAACACACCAAAAATGCAGTGCTGTAGATACTAAGGAATACTTTACCAAAGTTAACCTGCAGGTGAAATGTCTTCAGTTACATACAAACCTCATCCGAGGACTGTGAAGCTTATTTCTACAAGTCAGCGTTTATAAACAAATTGTTATTTAAATGAAATTGTTAAATCCAAAAATAGGTGTTATGTACCATATAGTTGCAGCTGTCTACCTGAGTTGTTGATGTAAGCAGAATTTACTAAACTCTTACATCATTGTTACAAGGATGTGAAAGATGTGGGAGATGATGTATAAGATAGTGCAACATTTGCCTGTTACAAAGTGAGTTTAATGAAAGATTGTCATTAATGGGAATAGATTTTGGATCAGGCCTGAATATAGGAGACTGAGGTTGGTAGGTGTGACTTGTGGTTGTGTTTATTGGTCAGCCACAAGTGTGGGTAAGGCTCTGAGGTCATGTGCTAGTGGGACCTTGATTACATTTTTTCAAAAGCTATCCTACGCATATTTTAATCATACTGTCTGCAACTTTATGACTTTCCACTCCATACAGATGCATGATAATAGGCCACATCTTTGTGGCATACAGTATTAAGTATGGGAAATGCTATGTTAAGGAATGGGAAATACTAGGGCTTTTGCAGCAGGTGTTGTGACATACGATAATCCTGCACTCCAGCTGCAGCTGGCACACAGTGCTTGCCCGTCAGCCCATGTGGATGGTTGATCTCTCCACATCATGCCTGAGCAAGAGCTGCCTAGCTGGAGACCCACTGCCCTGTGGGAAGGGACAGGAGCAAGAACCTTAAGTGTCATGTGCTGCTTGTCTTTGCCTCATTTAGATACAAACATTGTTCTGTTGCATAGTGCTGAATGGATGATAAAATTACCATGTGCTACTGAAACCAGAGCAGGCTGATGATAACTGGCAATGTTTTATGCCCAGTAATGATATCACTGGGATCAGTTGACATAAACCAGTGGCGTTATGACCCTTCTTTTATGAAGTTGTGTTGTAGTGTGCATAGCACAATATCTGAGTTTTAGCTATGGCATGGACTAATTAATTCTCCTTTATGTTCTTACTGTAGACTACTGGGGTGTTAAAATAGAGGTATACTGAGGAGGTGTTAAAGATATCTCGGTTAATGGATGGAGTCTGATCATGACTGCTTGGCTCTCCACATGTTGGTTTTCCCAGAGAATCTTGAAAAAGTAAACTGGCTTGCTTAAAGGTTTAATTTCTTAGATTTAATAGTTCCTAAGGTGGTGACTGTGTAGAAGATAAAATACCCCAGTGAATGTGAGTGGGGAAGTCTGGTCATGTTTCCATGAAAAATTGAGCTGTACTGCCACTACAGTATTTATCCTATTTTCCACTCACATGCTGCTTCCTTCCCTTAGCCAGCCCAGGTGTTTCTGTAGTTGTGTGGCAAACTGAATTGGAAAATTCCTTGTTTATACTAATCACTACCCCAGAAAAGAAGAGGGGTGAGAGCTAACTTTATCCTGGGTCAGATCATCACTTGTATTCACAGAAACCTGGGCTGGCATGGGGTTGTTAGCAGGCAGCTGTGGGAGGGAGGAGGGTTGGGCTTGTTCCTTGCAGTGACCACTCTGATCAAATATGTTTGCCAAGTGATGAAGTGGGTGTCAGTGGGAAGCAGCAGCACCTGAATAATTTCCAGAGTTGCTGGCAGTCATATTCTTTATATTGTAATCCCATTTGTCACACTGAATCTTCTGTTTGTTACACAGATCAATGTGTTAATGTTATGAGGTGTTTTATTAGCTTGAATTAAAAAAAAAAACTGCTATGAATTATTAGAGTCTGTAGGACCAGGTTTTAAAAGTCATGATTCTGCCTGTAATGAGAGAGGCAGAGCTGCTGACTTTGACAGCCATATATATGTGAATGAGTTACAGCTGCTGGACATAAGTCATGTTGAATGAGAAAAATGGCACATAGGAAGAAATTGGAGGGAGATTAAGGAAAGGCCAGGAAAGAGGGAGAGAGAAAGAGCGGAACTCGGAGAGTTTGACTGAATGTGTTGCCTGGCAGGCTGCTGCTGGCTGTTAGGGAGATGGATGTTTCTCAGCAGAAAAAGAAATGAAAGTAAGAAAAAGGAGGATGTTTAGGATATCAGAGAACTGGGAGAGAAAAAAAAATGGTGTCTCTGGCAAAAGAAGAGGATGCTTGTTGCAGGCTTGAAGAACTAAGGAAAAGAAGTCCCTGAATGGAAGTGCCAGGACAGACAGCCAAATGGAGTGGATCAGGCGCAGTTATCTTTAGCACTCTGGCGTACATTGGATGGTGATGTTAAAGGCCTCAAATAAATTTGGAACCACTCTGAATTGTAGATTTAATAATTCACATGGCTTAAATAAAATTAAGTAGTATTAACTACCTGAAGTTCAACCACGTTTACAGATTTCTTCTCCCCTTCTGTCCCTGCTAATACATTGCATCAAAAATATAGTTCTTGGGTTTTATTTTTTTCTCTTTGGAGACAATGTATCTTCTGCTAATGCTGTTTTTTTTTTTCTTTTGTCTTCCAAAAAGAGCACTTTCTTCTAAGTAGTTTTGTAACATTTGATTATTTTATTGGTGTCTTCTTAGTATATTTTCTAAACTGCCTCTAACAAAAGTTACTCTTTTTCCAAGTTATATTCAGGTGAGAGCAATAGAATCCCAGCAAAGAAGGAAATAATTGTCAGATCAAAGAAAGAAAATTGAGAGAGAATAATTTTGAATAACATTTGCAAAACATAACAGCAAGTAACAGATCACAACTGTCATTTTAACCATATATAGACATATAGAAAGAAAACAGCTGAAGGTAGTGCATGAGATAATTCTCTTCACTTCTGTGAGGTTGTAAGGGGATTTATCATGGAGGATGTCATCAAGTGGGGGAAGCAATAATTCTTTAAAAGAGAAAATAAAGACAATGGTACCGTATACTACTTCTGTTGTTTTCATAGTGAAATTAGATTGCTGACATGGATGCCTAAGTTACTGCTCTTAGTTAAAATGTGTCAGTGCTCTGGGCTATCTCTCATCCAGGTTTTCCCAGATGTGTCCTGTTTTATTCCATCTGGAAAGTTTTGTCTGGTTGAAACAGGAGGACTTTTTACATTAACACAGGATTTCCAGGCTAAAGAAGCCAGGATGGAGTAATGACTTGGCCCATCCTGCTTAATGTGTGTACTGTAAATGTAGGCACTGGGATACAGTGTGAAAAATGTGATAAGGCAGGCATACTGCCCAGGTGATCTAGGAAGGAGGCATCAATCTGATGTATTGATTTCATCTGCCACATTATTTACTTAGTCCATGCAAAGTGAATCTACCTCTTCCTGGTAGAATACCAGGCTCCATACCTGTGGGCTGCTTCAGAAATAGCCTAGGAGATTCCCCAAAAAGATACATTGCAATCCCATTTTAGAACAACTTCACTTGAGGTATATCCACACTGACAGACATGGCTTATATATGTCTGATTAAATAAGTGTATAGTTGGGCTCATCTTTGAGTAACAGTGGTGTTCCATGACAAAATCAGACAGAATAACGATATCTTGAAAAAATCGCTATTTGCAGAACCTTCTGACTGGGGACATCTGATTGCTTTTTTCAAAGTTTCTTTGAACCCTGGAAGAATTATTGGGTAGTTTAGAGACGACTTCTTCTGTGTTCAGTCATGGAGCTGACAGGAAGGGGCAGCTCTCTTAAAGAACTATGAGAAATCCTGAATGCAGGAGGTGGCAGCTGCCTGAGGCAAAGCCTCTCATTTTCACTGCAGTCAACAGCCATGTCTTGGTGTGGCAGTGCTGTGTCGATGGT